TTTATAGTATTCTTACGAAACTCCATTATTACACTTGTTTATTTTTTTTTCGATTAATTTATAAAAATAAAAAGTAAAAATTTTTCATTAGAAAATTTTTTGTTTTTAAATTAAAAATGAAATTAAATATATTCAAATTAATAATGTTAAATAAAATCCTACAATAAATTTTTGTTATGCATTCACATTTCTGAATATTAATCTATTAACTCGCTTTCAAATTATTTCTGTTCATTACTTCTCATAAGAATAGTTTTCAAAAATCGAAAAATATAATATTTATATTAACTCTTAAAAATATTTTACTATAAGAAATTGTTATTTATTTATTTATGTAAAGAAAAATTATTTTTAAAAAATTGCTTTTAAAATTTCATCTTCGTTTAATATTTCACAGTATATAAGCGATGTTTCTTTTATAATTTAATTTTAAAGAATATTTATTTATTTTAATTGTTTGCTGGATTTTATTTTATAAAGATATGTTTATTGTTTTTAATATACATACTATAAAATTCTTTATTTTAATAATATATCGAAGAAATTACAATAAATTGGTTTTTTAGAAAAAATGCTAGATTTCGCTAGACAGGCGAAATTATAAATTTTTCGATTCGAACGAACACTATACTTAATACAATATGTGTCTATATCGATGATGTATTAATAAAATATCAATAAAATGTTAATTAAAACAAAATACATTGTTAGTTAAATTATTAGACAAAGTCATGGTGAAGGATAATTTTAAATTAATATTTTAATTTACAAGTCAATCATACTTTTATGATTGCGACTGTTTTTATTTTTTATTAATTATATATTTTCTGCTTGTTTTTATTTTGCATGTCTAATAAAGTTCTTTTTTTGCTGTGTGTTATATAAATTTGAATTACACATAGGAAATTTTTAGTATTCTTCAAAATTCATTGAATTTTTTTTTTTTTTGTAATTAACTTTTAAAAAGATTTTATGTATTTTTATATACATACATATATAATTTATTCTTTGCTTAATAATTTTTTTATTTTTTAAAATCTATACACCCTTATAATTTAAAGCTAAAGCCACAATGAAACAGTTAAATGCTTTTTAAGGTACACAAAATATTTTTTCAAATTAGTGTCATTGTACAAGACAGTCTACAAACTTCTATCAAATAAATTTTAAGAAATAAATAAAAAATTTAAAATTCGATTTAAGAAAGAAACATAAAAACATATATATTTACATAATTGAACTCATATTTTAATAATGTATTTAAAAAAATTTTATAATCGATAAATTTTCCATTGTTGCAATAGCATAAGGCTTACTATATGTTTACTTATTTTTTATTTGATTTACTTTCTAAATTTATTTTCATAAAAAATAGAAATTTAATTTAATATATTTTTTATCAAAATAAATTGGTTTTAAAATTTCAAAAAAGAAAATCGGTTTAAAATAAATTCTTTAAGTCATTTTGATTTATAGAAATTTATATTTTTCTTTAGGACGTAATAAATTTGATAAAAATTTTTTTCGTTTTTTTTCATTGAATTTTTATACATTTTCTTATATTATATTATTTTATTATAATTAATTTTTACACATTTTTACATAATGATGCTCAGCTTCTTGCGTTATATATTAATATATGTAGTTCTATTTGTATAATACTTAAATGTTTGTCATTCTTAATAAATTTTTATAACTATATTTTAAAGATTTACTAATATGTTAAAAATTGGTCATTATTTTCATTTTAATTCAACAAATTTTGAATATGTTTGGGTATTTAAAATTTTTAATGTTATTTAAAGAAATTATTTTAATTATAATGTTCAATGCTAATGAACTGCGTCTATGTCACGTTGAGCTCTAGAAATTTTCAATTTATCTTTAGGAGTTTGATTTTCACCTGACTCTAAAGCAAACATTTTCATTTTTTCCTTAAATGATAACTTTTCTGGGACAGCTTCATTTGATTTCTGTTGTTGCTTTTGTTGTTGTTCTGCTAATCGGCGAGTTCTTGGATCCCTAAAAATTGAACCTCTTTTTTATCAACATCTTTAAATAACATTTTGTTTAAAAATCTCACCTATAAACTTCTTGTGCCCCAATAACACCAGGTGTCGATTGTACCGTGGTATTCCACATATCAGCTTCAGGAGTAGTTGGGGTTTGTAGTAGTGCATTAGTTTCTTGAATGAATCGCTAGTAATTGTAAAAACAAGAATAATAATAAGTAATATTTTTTTTAATAACTAAATCTTACATTTGGATCTTCTCTGATAATATCTAAATCAGCTTGTTCTGAACTGTATTCTTGTGATAGCACGAAATTGTTGTCTTCGTCATGGAATGAAACACGCTTATTGTCACGACTCATATTAAGAATATTTTGAGTTATAGAAGAAGTTACTGGAATGTGTGGATTATTCATTGAATGCGTTGTTACTGTAGTAACTGCAATATGTTGATTAATAATGTTATTATTACTACTGCTATTGTTATTGTTGTTATTGGCATTATTTATACTATTACTATTATTGTTAATAGTAGTACTATTGTTATTTACTAGACTTGGTCTTTGTTTACCAGCAGTAGAATTATTGTTGATTAGCGAAGATGGATTGCTAGCAGAAACGTCATTAATGGAGTTTTTTATTAAAGCAGGATTTTTGAGCTTCTGCTGTTGTTGTGACATTACTAAGTATGAACTATTACGTTCAGGTGGCGGAGGAGGTGGTCCACTATTGTCTAATGCATTTATTGTATCGCGTGTAATATCTAATGGTAGCTGATCAGCATTTCCATTATTTATATCTAGGTTAATAATATCTTTAGTCAGTTGTGAAATTGATGGCATTTCGGTTTGAGTTATTAGTTTGTGATCGTCAGCAAAACTGGCAGATTTTTGAGATTTTGATGGGGATCCTGGAGTATTTGAATTTGAATCAACTCCGTGACGATTGTTTTTCAGAATACTTTTAGGTTGTACAGTAGTTGGAGTTTGAACAATTTGATTCTGTTGTGTTGAAAAGCTCGGATAACTTTGTTGTGGATCCGATAATGTGGTCATCGTAGTAGATGTATTCGCATTAGTCATCGCTGTAGAATTTGTCATTGAAAGGCCGTCATTTCCGGTTACTGAATTATTATTGGCACCAGTGCTAACGGTTTGTGATGTTATTTTAACGTCAACTTGACGAAAATTCGTTACCGGAGTCTGAATAGTTGAATTTTGGTGGGCTAAACGTATGACTTCTTGAACATTTTCTTTATTATAACTAACTTCATTTTCTTCTTCTTGATCTTCATCTTCTTGAGCACGCCGTTCAAAATCTCTTTCAAGTACTAAAGTTTTTAATTGTTCTTCTTGTTGTGGAGTACGATTCGTAATAGCGGAAAGTTCTGATATTTGATGATCGCGCCATTGACGGATATGTTCGCGGCGCATTTCATGTTCTTTTTCTCGCTCTTCACGTTCCCATGGGTTAGCAGATAAGTAATTCTTTTGATGGTGTTGATGAAGAGCACTTGCAACTGGATAATATGCTGCTTTGGGAGGATCTAATGTACTTGCAACGTAATTAATATTTTGAGTAGAACTAGAGGTATTTTTAAATAACGGGTGCGTCGTTGTTGGCGGTAATGGCGGAGTACTGTGCAGTTCTTCATGAATTGTCTCGGGTTGGTTTTGTGAATACGATATTTGATTTCGCATCAAGTGTTGTGGTTTTGGGGCCGTTGGCGGTAATTGTTTAATTGGGCTCATTTGAGGCAATTGCGCTTGACCTTGCGGACTGTGCATTGGTAATTTTCCTGTCATGCCAACATGTACATTAAGGCTATCGTTCCCATGCAATCGCCTAGTTGCATGTTCGGCCATTTCAATCATTTTTCCTTGGCCACGTATTTGAGCTGCGGTTGGGTTTGTAGTATGGTGATGATATTGGATAGGTAAATTATCCAAATGTTGACCACTTTGCGGCGATGTAACCAAGTGCAAAGGACCATTTTGAAATGCATGTTGATGTTGCGGTAATTCATTGTTTAATAACGATTGTGGCTGTGAGTTACTTCCTGGAATCATATTCACATTTTGCATACTTTGACTGGACGACATTTGTCCGGGATATGACAAAACTGAATGTGCCGCCGCAATATTTGGCATAGATGGCGCCATCATAGAATTTATCCTTTGTTGTTGACTTTGTAAATCTCTATTGCTAAAATTTTGTTGGTTCATTTTCAAACGATTTATCGAATGTTGTCCGCCTTGTTGCACTGGTGATAAATTAGAGTTCACCCCATTTGATAAATTAGTACTACTTGCGCTCATGTTATATGATATTATGGAATTTGGTGATGGCATTGAATTATTTGTTGCATTAGAATTTGTTGCGTGATAATAAGCTGATGTTGGCCGATTTAAAATAGATTGCGGAGGATTTGTCATTGTATTTGAGTTTATAGATGGTATATTAGAAGTAGGTTGGGGTTGCGGAGCCTGTGGATGAGTATTCATTAAAACTTGTTGATTGATACTGCTTGAAATACCCCCAGGTTGCGAAATTTGGTGCCTACAATAAAAATTTAAGAAAATAAAAATTATATTAAAAACACTGATACACCTTCGATAGCTTCATCTAGCTAACATTTGTAAAATTTAATGCAAATGTCATGAAAATGTCAACACCGACATCGATTTGCAGAAAAAAAGATTTGATTGTATGGGTTTAAAATATGTAATTTTAAATTGAACTTCAAACTTAAAACTTAATAAGAAATATTTAGTTTAATTAACTGAAATTCTTTTTTAATTTACCTGTCTGTTAATAATGGTTGACTTTGATTCTGTGCTCTGTAAACACTTAAGTTTTGATAAAAACCTTGTTCGCTATTGTTATTATTAACAAGGTTATGTATGCTTCTTGATTTTGAGTTGACCATTGCTGCAATATAACATATTAAAAATTATTGATTAAGAAAAAGATTTTGAAGTCATATACCTCCCCCACCAACATGGTGTAAAGCTGGAACTGATTTACTATTGGGTAATAATTGATTCATTTGTTGTTGCCCTAAAGGCATTTTTCCATCACCTACGCGGTTGATGTCCCTTTCAGACATTCTTCGGTTGCCTATGAAAAATAAAGAATGAAAAATAAATATTTTATTATCTGAAAAAAGGTTGTTTTTTTCTTTTTGCTTTTCAAGAAAATTAAAGTTTGCAAAAGCTTAAAAATAAAATTTGACAAATTATCAAACTTTTCTCAAATAAATTTAAATTAAGATTAGAAAAAATTAGATACATATATACAATTTTTTAATTTTTCTAAATAAGTTTTTAATTATAATTCAATATGTTATAAAATTTCTAAATACTTAAACATATACATACATACATTAGTAAAATAAAAAATATCTTTTAACTAAAATTAAATTATATATATAGCTTTTTTTCAAAATATTTCGCATTTTTTGTAAAATTAAAATGATACCCAATTGATAATGAAATAATTATAACTTTAAGCATAAATATTTTCAATAATATTTCGAATATGAAATATTGGAAATTACAAAACGAAAATTTGTGCCAACAGAAAAATTTAAATTACTATAACTTTACAACAATCAACAACATTTTGAGAAGAGCATTCCAAACAAATTTTATATGTATAATAAAGTAATTCTTTTTCATTATTCTGTGTTTAATTTGTCAATTAAATAATTTCATACTCTGTCATCTAGGTTCAACAACATCATCCGACGTTATTTTGTCATTAGTTGACTGATAATCCAAAGATGATGATGATGATCCTTTAGTATTTAATTCGCAACAACATTTTTCAATTGTTGGATTCATTGAACTATATTTTTTAAAGATGTGAGAATAATTTCTTGTGCAGTTATTTTTATTATCTATAATACAACGAATAATTGGTGATATTGTATTTTTAGCTAATCTTATATATTCAGAATTATTTGACTTAAAGTCTTTATTAAATAACATTGGTGTAATTGGTGTTATAATTTTTGTAATTGTAGTTGATTTATTTATATTAGATTTATTAATATTTAAAGAATTTGAACTATTTGCGTTTGCAGGGCTATAATTACTTAATTGAGTGCACTTGTTATAAATTATATCATTTAATTTATTGCTATTGCTATTACTACTACTATTTTGTTGTTGATATTGTTGTTGCTTTTGTTGTTGAATTATATTTTTTATTTTTAATTTTCTTACAGTCATAAAATTCTTTGGTCTCGATGTTAATGTTGGACTTTTTAATGATTTATTTGGTAATGTAGGTAAATTAATGCAATGATGAAAATTGACGGTACATGTTTCATATTCGTCTATTGTTATATTTTGAACTTCACATAAGTTAGTATGATCTTGAGATTCCTTTACTATTCTTGGCGTGATTTTATTTTTATCATCAGAGTAATTAATTTCAGAACCATTTACATTATTACTATTATTATTATCACTATTGTTATTGCTAGCAAAATTACATGAGGAGTATAAAGATGATGACATTAAATTAGGATAACTTTTATAACATAATTGTGAATCACTAATCGCAGATGATGAAATATTACTCGGTGAATTTAACATTAAAGTGTTATTATTGCTAATACTACTACACAACGGACATTTATGAAGGCATATTGTATTACTTAAAGAGTTGTTTTCATTATTTGGATTAAATTTTTTATAATAATAATTATCACAAAATTTACAAACACTTAAATTGGAATTTGACACAAAATTATCAATTTTACATTGAAGATTATTTTCATTATTATTAATATTTTTAAGTATGATTTGTTCATCTTGCATTTTATCTCTATCTGAATTACTATCGGTAATGTTTGTTAATGTTATATTATTGCTTTTCTCTGAATTCCCCTTATATGTTAAACAAACGTTATTTGGATCATTGTGAATATTGTGATGATTTGATTTAGTATTTAAAAAAAAATTTATGTTAGAAAAATCACATTCATCGTTTTCTATTAAATTTGGTTCGCTTGACCAGAAATTACAAGCGTTCTTGTTATTTCCAGGAACATGTTGATCTTCAATTTTTTTTGAATTATTTATAAAGGTTTTGTCGATTTGTTCTAGTGGATCAACAAAAGAAATGTAATGACTCTTTTGAAATAAATGGTCATGTTGATGATCATGACAATATTTATCATCAATTCGTTTTGATTTTTCTACAATTTCTGTTTCGGAAGTATCCGCCGCAAGAAATATAAGTTCATTACGATGATTATGGTGATGATGATGTCTGTGATGATAATGTTTATGACAATGTGGTGATTTATCATAGTGATTATTTGATATTTCTTCGTAATTTACTTTATCAAAATTTTCACATTTTTCATGAAATTTTATTTGTTTATCAATTATAAAATTATCCTCATTATAATTTTCTTTCCCTTTGGTACCATACAAACTCCATTCTTTTAACTGATTTAAAATGCGTTCTTTTTCATCTTTTGATAAGTTACATGGTTTATCTTGATATTGTCTCACTTCATTTTGTTTTAAATAAATATTTTTATTTCTATAGTCATCGCGTTCAGTATTTTCAGTATTAAGGAAATTCAATTCAGGATTTGAGCGAGATTTAGCACGATATTCTAAAAAGCCTTTAGGTGCACCAAACTCAAAAAATTCTGTTATTACTTTTACCTTTCCTTGACCAAATTGTGGGATTAGATCATCAACATCTGGTACATCCAAAATTTCAGTTCGATTCACTTCTTTATTTGTTGTTTTCTTTTCAAAACTTTCTAGAATTGGTGTTTTATCACTGTTAGAATTTGACATAAAGCTACGTACTTCAAAGGAACTATTTGATTTGCGCAAAGGAACTTTAAATTTAAAGATTTTACTACACTTCTTTGAATTTTTATTTTTATTATATTTGGCGAGTTTTATATCTGAGTTTCTGGTCCCATTTTCAATATCTTTGCTTCCTACAAATAATTTATAATTTTTTATTTTCGACATTAATGACTTTACTTTCTTCAATAAAGTGCGTAATTTTTCTAGGGTTTTTTATTGGAAAAACAATTTTGTTCTTTTTGCTTTACTACAAGTTACGACTCTAACTACACTCAAATTGGTAAAATGAATTCTTTAACAAGTGATTGCGTATTTAGTACTTCATCACATTAAATCAAATTAATGAAATATTTTTCCTTCTTTAAGAATTCATCTTATAAATGCAAAACAGAACAAAATTATTATCTTTCTGTGCACAGTTTACATTCTGTTTTTAGAAATAACTCACCAATGCAAGATGATCTGGATGAAGATGAAGTTGATTTTAGTTCAGATAAATCTAAATCGAGATCGTCGAATTGCTCTATTGAATATGTATTACTTTTATAAGATTTTAAAACATTTTCTTTTTCTTTTTCCACATCGTCTTTTTGATCCAAATTTTCACTCTTTTTTATATTGCAATTATTATCACCGCTCATTGGTTTTATAGTACTTATCGTGTCAAATGTGTAAGATTTTTTTGAAAATTTTGTATTTTCCCCATCAAAACTTGTACTATTTAATTTATCATCTATTAAATCAAAACTAACGGTTTTACGACAACCCGAATTCGAGCGCGCTTCCTTAATAATACCACCACCGCCGGCACTTGCAACAGAAGATATACTTGAGCGACTTCTTCTGAAAAATTCTTTACTATCCGGAGGAACATACGGTTTTTCTTCTTCTGGTGGCGTTCCGTCGTCAATAAATGGGATCTGGTCAAGCTTTTCGCCAGAGCAAGAAGCTAAACTATCCTCATTCAACGGTTGATGCGCTTCAATTTGCGTTATATTCAATTGGGTAAGCGATTCATTTGATAAGTTATCTGATTGTGTAGTAACTGCATCATCGTTATACTGCTCTATAAATATTGAAGGTGCTGGTCCAACATCCCAATTTGAACGCAATGGACTGTTATATTCGGCTGCTAAAATCAAACTAGAGGAACTTCTAGCTATTGGTCTAGTATCTCTGTACCTTGGATCGATGTGAAGTTTTTCCCCTCGAGCACATAGTTCTTCTTGAAGAGAGGATGAACTTCTACGCCTGTGTGGATAGTTGCTATATATTATAGGAAAAGTTTCGTATCTGGCAGTATTTATACCAGCGACGCTATGTATACTTTCATCAGAACCGGATCCATAATTTAAATTTGTCGGATAAGGTGGAATAACAGGAATTATATCATCAGAATCTACTTTTAATTTTGTCAAAGTATTTTCATTTTATCACAAAATGGCAGCATGAATAGAATTTAAATTTACGAGTAAGTTAAGATACTATTCTAGCATAATAATCTATTTCTACTATTTGCTTTAAAAATTTTACGTAATATTTACCACGTTGGATCACAGGGCTTGGTTGTTGCAACAATGTGGCTAATCCATGATAAATTGCTCCTTGCTTAGCTACTTCTAAAGTAACAATCGGACCAGTACGAACCAAGTAATCAGCAGCTCTAAAATTGTAACAAGCAAATGTATTAAATGTACATAATTGTACATTAAATGTAATTAATAACGTATTTGTTAATAACAAATACAAAAACATTTAGTTTTGTGTCACCTCTCTTGGGTTATTCCAATTAAACTTTGTCCGTCTACTCTTAATAATTGATCACCAGCTTGTAACCGTCCATCTGCATCAGCTGCCCCACCTGGAACAACTGATTTTATATAAATGCCTAAACGTTCTTGACCAGCACCTTTCGCTGCTACGATTGATAGCCCCATTCCGTTAGAGTTTTTATGTAGTTTGATAACTTGAACTTCAGGCTGAGGCAACTTGTTAGACATGGAGCTTGGAGAACGCGTCTAAGAATTGAATGAAAAATATTACAACATTTCCAATTTATTATTTTTATATTTACATTAAACTGATGCATATACACAGTCCAAAGACCAATACTTGTTGGTTGAGCTGCTAATCGGCACATTCCCGCTGCTTGTAGTGGATTTAAAAAATCAACCAAACCAGATGGAATACCTCGTACCACATCACAACTAAAGCCATCATCAGGTAAGAGAAGTGCTAAATGCAATTCAGGTGATTCCTCAAGCCTTACTTCTCGACCATCCGCTCTTGTTAATTCATCTGCTACAGATTCTGCCATTCGAATTGCTGTATCAATTAAGTTTCTTGGAATTTGTTCTTGTTGTAGCAAAGCTGCCATTTGTAAAGAATTCAATCGGAAACATGAGCATGCTAATTTTTGTATTTCTTCAACAGTTGTTTTAGGTGCCTTGAATTCCAACAGAATTTAGTAAAAAAATTTTTCAGTCAAATATTTTCAATCTTACTTGTAAAAATTGAGCACATTGATTAATTTTGGCTAAATGACAATCTGCAGCTAATTCTAAACCTTGACGTTCAGCCCATAGTTCTAACAATTGAAGTCTTTCAAGCATTACCTTACCCCATTCTGCTGTGCACATATGGGAGTTTGCAACAATCTAAAACGGCATACGTAAATTTCTAAATTTTTCAAATTTGCCAAAAATTTGTTGTTTTTACCGTGTTAAAACAAATCACATTAATATAATGAAATAATTGCGAAAACAACTGAATTGTAAGAGCAGCATTTACTCGACAACGACGTAAAAGCGCCATAGCTGAACCTAATACAGTTAACACAAAACCAGCTGCTGATTCATGATCAATGTTCTCCGATAGAAATTGATTTAATGTTTGGGATAATTCTACTCGAAAACAATTGACTAAATTACGAAAAGCACTTTGTACACTTTCAGCTAAAACTTCTTGTGCTTGTACGCTAAATGCACTTATATGACGATCTGATTTTAAAAAATGTAAGAATTCTGAACTATTTGCCATCCAAAATGCCAATACTCGTGGATCATTGTACTGATCTTGTATTATTGAATATATTAAATTGGCAACATGATGTAAAAATATTGTTAACTTATGAGCTCGTTCGGTTGGCTGAAGTTCGGGACGGTAATGTGTTGAAGCACGATATCTAGAAGAAAAAAAATGAAAACCAATTTAAAACAAGAAAGATTACACTTAGGCTTTAAATTAAATTGATTTTATAAACTCCAGTCAATTTTATAGCATATGAAAAATAAGAAAAATAAGAGAGAAAGCCTTATTTTTCTGTTAAACACCATTACTATAATAAGGCATACAATTAAAATAATCATGCTATTAGATTAATATCAAATTACATAACTGTATTAATATAATAAACATATAAGTATGGTTATAAATTACCTGGCACATAGATATAAAGTATAAACAGGTGATAGTTTAAAATTTGGTGCATTAACATCTAATTCTGTGATGACTTGTCTTAAGAAATTCTCCTGATGTGTTTCAGGAAACTCTAAGACTGCTGGTAATATTGGTTCCTGACCTTGTTGCATTTCGGCCATCGAAATTTTTGAATTCCTGTTTCGATTCAAGTTGCAAATTTTAAAGAAAAAATTTTAATTTTAATATAAACATCAAAATGCAAAAAAAAAATGCTAATAAATATTATATAAATTTTAATTTATTGTATTTTTATCTTTAAAAGCATTTATTATATTTTGAAAACGTATAAATTTCGAATGATTGAATTAACAAAAAAAAAACACAAAAGAAGCACAAAAAAGCTGATTTTTTAAATGTGTGTAAGTGAAAGTGAAAGGTGTAAAGTTATACGAAAATTTGTTATTACTTTAATAATCGAAAAGATTATGTTAACCAGTGATTTTATTTGTTTTACCTTGATTCTTGATTATTAGATCCACCTGATTTAATACTTGATATAGATTTGGTTTCCGTTTCAATATTTCCATCCGGATCATAAGCAAAATCAGTTTCTTTAATAGGTCCTCGTACTTTATCATTTTCATTAGAATTTGTTCCCATTGCACTATTAACACTACCTCCAGTTCCCATAGATTTATCAGTTGAACTTAGTGGGCCATTTACTATACTACTCACTCCGGTTGTTCCACCCATACCGCTCGTTTGATGTATTTTATCAATATCAGTTTTTATATTCTGGTTTTTTTTTTATTTTTAATTTTTATTCAATTTTTGATTTTATGTACACATGTTATGAAATTGAGACAATTTATTATTTTTAGTTCTATTTGAATTAAATAGCCAACAATTTTATTTGAAATGAAATTTGTTTATTTGAATAAATAAATTAATTGAGGAAAAGTTCTATCAAAATCAACTGAATTATTCATGAAAACTATGTATATAAATTATTTTTGAAATACATTCTTATGTCAATTGATCGAAAAAAATTGTTCTAATTTTTAGAAATAAAATATTGTTGTTGGCTAATACTTAAAACATAAAATTTAAAAAAAAAAAATGTACTCTTACCGGACTTCTGTCATCATCATTCCAAGATTGAGGAGACGTAGGTGATCGACTAAATGTACCATATATTAAGTTTCGTTTTCAGAATATTTAAAGTATTTTTATAGAATTGTTCAGATTATGTTTATTGGATTGGTTTTTCGATTGGGCAGATGATTTTATTTATTTTTTAATGTATGTTTGTATTTTTGTTTTGATTTGTTTAATATTTTGCGATTTGCAACAAAAGCAAAATGGTGCGTACATTTAACAATAAAAAAAAATAAATAAAATTAATGAAACACAAAGGAAATAAAATAAAAAAAGTAAACAAAAAGAAAACAAAAACATAAAACAATGAGTTAAATAATAATGCTGAATTATTTTAACATAAAAATTTCAATTAGCGATCAAACATGTTCGATTCATTATATAGAAAGGAAAAATACAAAAAATATTCTTATATTTGGATATTTTAAATGGCTGTAAATTTATGATATTTTAATTTTTTACAGGTAATTGCAAAAAATTATTTATATATAATATTTTGCTATACAGTATTTATCACATTTATACAGTATTATTTATACAGTATAACAGAATGTGTAGTAAGAAATCAAGTTGCGATCATAATTTATCGAACATGTTTTATAGCTAAGTACACATTAATATCTTGTTTCATATTCATGCACAAAATGTAATTAATTAATTGTAATTAATTGTAGCTTAATACATAAAATTAAATTTTGTTTAATTTTAATAATAAAAAAATAATATTCTTGAATGTTTTTTAGGGCAATCATTTTTTGTAAAAACATGTATGAATTTACTGTCGAAAATAAATATCTTACCTTTCATATAAACATGCTGAATCTAATTGGGATTGTGATAATGCTAAATTGTATCGTCCATCTGATGGTGAATCAATAAAGCGATAAGATGAAACACGTCCAAACATTACTACAGAGCCGTTCTGAAAAAAAAAAAACATTTGTTTATAAATTTACTTTACAGATTTTGCATAAAACACTTAATTTAAGATCTTCAATATTTTTAAAGTTTTAGATTTCATAAATCCTTATATAGAATTTATTTGTCAATTTAAAGAATTACAAGAAATTGAAATCTTTATATATGCTGTACTAAGTTTTTAATTTAAATAATTAAAAAAATACGCGATACGTTTACTTTTAATTGGTCTAATATTTTAATAAAAATTTCAAAGTTTTAAAAAATGTTTTTATGAGTCGAATACTTAAGTTAAAGAATTTTTTTTAAATCAAGCAACATTAAATTTTATTCTTACTTTGTTTTAGTGTTTTCCTTAAGTGATTTACTTTGAAATTCATAGAAAATTGGAAGAAAGTTTCCAGTAGTTAAAAGTTTAAACTCAGTTTAGGCAGATCCCGTAAAATTTAAACTTACAAAGAACGGTAAAATTCTTTTATTCTAATTATTAAAATTATTTAGTAACGGTAGGACTCAAAAACTTCCAACAAATTTAATCTCATCTCAAAGTAATTATACAAATTACTGCTCTTGTGCTTGAAAGCATCCCACTCATTTTTTTTTTCTAATTTTTTGTTTTTTAAAAACCGGCTGCTTTGAAAACCGGACCGCTGGCAGTTCATGCTTTTAACCAGCTTATAAAAACTTATCACGAAATTCAATAGATATTTAAGAACCTTATAGAAAATACAAGCCCTTATAGAAAAAATCAAGACGAAAAACTTTTAAAAATTGTTTTATCACTCAAAACCTACACAATAGTTCATTTTAAGTAAATATCAAAATTTGATTACAAAATATTAACACTTGATATCTTAAATTTAATAGTTCGCCCCTGATTCAAAAATATTCCATATAAAAAATCTGAAATTTATCCATAAATACGCTAATTTAAAATTCAAAAATTCATTCAAACAAACTTTGATTTAAAATTAAAAAATCATCAGTTTCTCAAAGGAGAAGATTATTGTATTTGGGAATAGTTTACCCTTATTTTAATTATCCTTTTTGAAAATTTAAGAATCAGAAATGTCAACTCCTTTTTTGTTTTTCTAATTTAAAAAGTCCGTTTAAATTAAAAAGCTTTTAACTTTATTTACTTTAAAATTTGTACTGAAATTTAAAAAAAAAATTAAATTAAAAATCGCGAAAAAAAAAATAGAAAAGAGGAAAAATTTGAGGGCGTATAAAAACATTTGTAAAGAAAATTAGAGCTTACAATATAATAAGTATGTATATGTACATATATTGGTCCGTATGTTTTGACTTAGTGTATACGTAATTATGGGAGTGCTTGTTATTTGTTATGCTGAAATATCACTGTTCTGTTTAAAAAATAATTCTAAAAAAAAAACTTGACATTTTCCTCATATTTTAATGTTGGCAGCCCGTCAAAAATCGGCAGGGTATAAAAAATTAGTTTTTTCTTTTCGATTTTCCTTTAGATAATTTTGTATCCTTCAGATAATGCTACTGAGAAATTTCTTTTCATGGAATTAATATTACCATTTAGTTCATTTTCGTTTGGCAAGTCTGAGATTTTGTTATGTAAACAGTTATTTATGAACAAGAAACTACATATAACAAATTTTTAAACACTTTTCGTTATTCTATAGTCTATACTGATTCAACATCAATATCCCAAAGACAGAGGGGCTAACTATTGATTTCTGCGATTGATTATTTTAGTTGAGTTTTTCATTTTCTTTAGTTTTTATTTATGGTCCATTTACGGCTTGATATCACATTGAATTTTGTATTTTTGATCATTTTTTATTGAAAAACATGTATACCACATTATACTTAAATTAGTTTATGTATATAGAGTGAGAAAGATAACAAAAATAGAGAAGAGAATGTACAGAATTTTTTTTTTTGTGATTTTTGATTTTGTGAGATTTGTTTATAGAATTTGGTAATCAATAACGTCTACAATATTTTTGTTTTAAGCTTATATTTGGTCATTATAAATTAACATAGTCGATTTATTGAAAAATAGCAAATAAATTCTTTAATGAACTAACAAATTTGCTATTTATTCACATTTAGAATTATGAAAAAATTTTTAAGGGGGAGGTATTATAAGAAACTTTTTACTCAGAAGATTGAAGGGAAAAATATTGTAAGATATGTGCACTAAACTTATAATGAAAGATAATAAAAATGAAATAATTTCTAAGTATACGTCCAAAGCGAATAAGAAAGTGCTTTTTAAATTTCATAATTACATTTTAAAAATAAATTACATTTAAACTAATGTAGTTAACACTTTTTTCGTTACTGCATACTTTTAACGAATTTCTAATTAAATTTGTCTTTTTGCATAAATTCTATTCCAACTATAGTGAACAATCAAATAATTCAGTAACTATGCAATAATTCAGTACCTACAGTAATGTGGAGATTAAAGAAAGTTAGATTGCTAAAGAAAGATATGGGGAAATAAACACCTTCCCCCTACCACAGTAGCCAGCCTTATTACGGCTTATTTTAGTCTCATTAGTACTCCTATATCCCATCCATATACTGTTCCGGTTACAAGAAAATTAATCGAGATATCACTGAGGGAGTTGAATACGAGCTCCCAAACCAACTCGCCCAAAACCAACTGCACCTTTTGACGGCAAGAGCAATACAATTAGCCTCATTTTTCCGACAGAATCTACACAAAAGAGAGTCCAATTTGTCTAGTTTGTGCAGAGAATTAACGTTGCGAAAAAGTCAATAATAACACAACTCGCTTTCGATCCGATTAGCTTTCCGTAATAGCTCTGAAGAAAACTTCCTTGAGCAGGATAGAAGAGGAACCTATATATGCAAGTAACGTAGAATAAAATAATTTTTGTTTTTACATTGATTTTAAGTTTTAACATTTCATTAACGTAAACGTTAACAGTATCTATAGCAGGACTTCATAATGACAGCATGATATGTTATGATGGCAGCCTTAACGTACTTTAAAATTTTTTCCATCGAGTTGAAAATTGATTTTGTGAAAAAACAAAGTAAAATAATATGTGTGTTCGTAAGTATGTACTAAATGGCTATAATTAAGTAGTTTTTTTTTTTTGTGCAAATTATAATTTTTATGACTTCCCTAAATTTTAATTAAATTATGAAAACTGCTTATGAATATCAGAAGAAATTTTCGATATACATATTTACATACATAATAAGCATATATATATAGGTATGTAGATGTGGATGCATCTACATTTATATAAAAATTAATAATGTACATAGCTATATCGATTTTGTTTTATAGTTTTTAGTTTTGATGACGCAATGCACCGTAAGTTCTTGTATGTATAATTGTTTGTTGAAGATGACAGTTTTTATGACTATGACAATGCCCATTGTTTTGCCATTTAATATATCTACATCCATGTATATGCATATTTGTGTAGCACGTGTATAAATGAGAGTTTTTTGCACTATAAATATTTGTATGAACAATTAATTATGTATGTATGTGTAATTCTATTTTAAGAATGTTGACGTCATTTATGATATTTAAATTTTTTTTCAATCACTAATCAAAGATAACCTACACATGCAAATAGTATTGTTTAATTAATAATAGTGTTACATCTGTAAAATTTGGTATATGCATAGATGTATTTAAAAAAAAAATTGTTTTTATCTTAATTTGTGATATTTGTTAATGGTATTTTTTAATTGTAAACTTAATTGAATTACAAAAGGTACGTAACTACCTATGTACTGCTGATCTGCTAATGCATATTATATACTTTAAATTGATGAACTTTTCTTGATTTGGATTTTAGGAAAAATTAGGTCGGACTGGTTTGATTATTCGATTGTTAGCATGTGTTATTTTAGTAATATAAGAATGCAACGAACGCAGATTGTAATGAATTCTCAAGTTGAAACAAATTTATTCAAATTCAAAAAGTACATACATATTTACATATATGAATTTATGTACAATCGTCAACTCTTTTCTTGTAATTAAATCCAAAATTATTTCAATTGACACTTGCAAATTACAAATATGATTAACCCTATAAAATAAGCCATCACGCTGGCTGAGGTTTTTAAATTGATTAAATAAAAAAGGTTTGAGGAGAATTTTATCAAGTTAAATTTTAAAGTTTAAATTACACTAGCGTCTCAATTTTGCTCTTAATTTCCTTTCTACGTTCCCAATTTTATAACATAAGTATATTCATATAACGTAATTACAAAAATTTAAAAAACGTTTTAGCTTCTACATAATTTCCAGGACATAGATGGAAATACAACTTTTGAAATCCATATGCGTACTTTAAGTTAATAATAAATGTTTAAAATTTATAACAACCAGCAATCATTAAAGATTCAATAGACTTTGATACTGTATACAACTAATGAAAAATATATTCAATTTGCGCATCAACATTATTGGACAATTATCATTTCACAAAATCCAATTTATTCTTTAATAAAAAATATTTTTTATTATCTAGTAAATTTTCTATTAAGGTCCTATAATAATAATAATAATAAAAATTATGAAAGTTTTCTATCAAGGATAAACCATTTAACACCTACACAATAAAGTATTTTTACAGGTAAAACTCAACTAAATTGTATCATACTTAATAATTCAGAAGTACATGTATGAATACACAGACGGAAAAAGTAATTATTATATAGATTATACATTAACACATGCATGTATGTATGTATATAAATTGAGAAATACGGGAATAACGTACAAAAAATCTGGTGTAGTCAGCAACTAACAACATTATTGTTTTTTTTAGATTACATTTGCTAAATTCCAATAAATTTAGTTCTAATTAATTTAGTGAAAGACTTATAAAAGCCTGAATGTATTTTGTACGCTTATTTTAAATTTTAAGAAAATAATAACCATCTAAAAATGTAAATTTGCTTCTTAAATATGTTCTGGAACTTAATTTTCCTGAAAAGTTCGTCAGCTAGTTTCATTGAAAAACAGAACTTGTATATTAAATATTTGCTTGCGAACGATCAAAAGTTTAAAATTGACTTGTAATAAAAATCCAGTTGTCGATATCTGCCGCCCTCCAATTTATTAATTCTCAAAAATAAACTCAGATAGAAATTTTCATTTAAAATGTTTCGAATTAATCTGGAGATACAGAAGTTCACAAACCGGCCGAAATCTGCCAGGAAATGATTTTTCGCATTGATCGCTTGAAAAAGGACGTTCTTGCTTTTTGAATGTCTGATATGTGACATCTGATGTGGTAATTATACCCCCCTTACTGTATGTAATCGTTAAAGAGAAAAAACTTAAAAATTAATTTTATTGATTTCGAATTAAATATAATTTTTATACAAACTTTTAAACATACATCGTCATAATAAAATGAATTTTGATTTATTTCAGACTTAATTTGGACTCTCACACACGCATACTCAAAATTAATTCGTAGGTATATTCTCTTTAATATTCTTTTCATTGATTTCTTTTCTATAAAAGACCTTCTTATTTCATATATTTAATTGTTGACTAAAATTATACCACTCCCATATTAATGGAATAAAAAAAACCAATGATTCTCAAATATATTATGGATTGAAATCCAATGAAGGTTTTAAAATAAAAAAAAACAAGTCAATAATCTCATATGTAAAACAATTTTAATGCAATGTAAAGCAGGTCTCCTGACGAGAATCGGAATACAATTTATACCTAAATTCAAGCTTATAGCGTATGCAAACATGATACTCGTACATGTATACATATAAGATTTTATACTTGGTTTGTATACTATATCCAGAGCCGGATCTGCCATATATGCAACTTAAGCATTTATAATGGGCGCTAAACAATAAGAATGCCCCTCTAAATTAAAAAAAAAACTTTTTTTAAAAAATAAAAGTTTTTCATTTGCTATTCCAAAAATTGTTTTGTTTCTTTTTAAAGCAAAATTAACGTAATAACAGATACCCATATACAAACATTGGAAAACATAAAGCTGAAAGTTTAGTTCCAGGCTTTAATTCAATGACAAATCTTACATTCAGCAGGGTAAAGTTGCACGAAAGTGAATTATTATGCGCAATTTATTGTGGCAGGACGAGCGCTCTTTTTAGGAACCGCGTAGGAGGCAAAAAAGACCGAACCAGTCATGGCATCACAGTGAATGATTGCGTCTTGTATATTGATAGCTATGATGACTAAAAAGGAAAACTTTTATATGTATGTAAGTATGTCAATGACAAATTTTTTTGTTTACTTTACGTCTTACGAGCAAGAACAATGAATAACATAGTTCCTATTTGTAAAGAAAATACGGAAATTGAGATACGATTTTCTTAAATAAAATCCAAGCTTTTACGTTTAATCATTACGCAAGTGGGAAACATTATTTAATTACGTTAAATTTATTTTAATCTTAAATTTTAAATTAATATTAATCGAAACTAAAAAGGGTTTAGAAGTCCCTGACACAATGATTTTATAACAAATGAAATAAAAATAATACTTATAAGGACATTTATCAACTTAAGATAAAAAATGAAATGTAATTGAATGTCCACCCCACGTACATACAAAAGGGAAATAATGAAAATGTTTAAATTGTCGATATTTGAAATATGAAATACAAAACAAAAAACAGAATTTCAAGTATCTTTAATTATTCTTTAAATATTCTATAATATAAAATACAAATTTAATTTTTATTATATTGTTAGCATGACTGTTAATGGCATTTAATTAAATTTTTAAAAAATAATGTCATTAATATTCGCAAGGGGAAAAATAAAGAGAAAAACAACTTACGTGTAGTATTGTTGGCTGTGTTATGTGATGACCATTTACAAATGTTAATGCATCTGTATGCAATGGTGTAACAGTACACACACCCTCTAACAATGATATCAGGCAATGTCGTGCTTGTATTGATGGTCCAAATAATTGCAATGAATTTGTATTTGCTGATCCAACCTGAAATTAAATGTAATAAATGTAAAACAACTTAATAAATTAAAATAAATAAACAAATCAAAAATCAAATAAAAAAACAAATATTTACAAAAAGTGTTTTTAATAAAAATTTTATTATTAAAATTTTACAATACCATTGAGAATTGAACGTTAAAATTAATTTAAATTCCTTTTTAATTGTTCTAACTTAAGTTGCCATATTGAAAATTTAAAAAACAAAAATCGATTGGATATCAATTCAAAGTATAAGAAAAACAAAAAAGATTCATCTTATTTAATAGATAAAATTCACATTCAATTTCTTCAACATTTTATTGGTTTTGTCTAAATACTAACTTTCTACTTATCAATTTGTGAAATACTTTGAAATCATAATTTTGCTAATAAAGCAAAATTGAAAACCTATTCGAGAGTTGGTAGTTGTTTGAATTTTTTTATCTATCCCTCGTATAATCAAAATTTGTAGCCTAGTTAATGCAACTAATTAATTAAATAAAATATTAGTTATTCACCAAAACGACGTGTGGTTCATTATAAATTCATTCCTTGGCTGAATTGAAAAAATATGAAGAAATTTTCCAAGCCCAAAACGTTTTTCTCATGTTAACGTGAATGGAATTTTATTTCCGAGTCCTCTAACTGAGGCATTTATAGAGGACCAAAAAATAAAAATAATTAAGACGAAATTTTGGAGCCATCGAAAAGTTATAATTTTTGTTTATCAATTTTGGAAAATAATATTTATTTTGATTCTAACGCAAATAGAATAAAATTTATTTTGATTCTAACACAATTAGAATATAGAATAAAACAAATTCAAAGAATTTTTTATGAAACCTCAACCAGCTGACGATTTACACTTTCTAAATTTTTTTTCAACTGATGATGTGTAGTTATGTAAATGAATGCTATTCTAAGAGAATTTAAACTATATTTAATTTTACCTCAACTGGATCACTTCCTAATTTAATACGTCTACCTCCATCACCACTATGCGTTACTTCAACAAGCATTGGTCCTTCTCTCTCACATATGTTATTTGTTCCATTTGGAACACCAAGAGGTTTCTTTTTTCTTCTTCTTGGCTGTGAATCGGCTGGACGTCGTCTTACATGAAACATGATAGAACCTGTAATAATAAATTACAAAAATTGAATTATTATAAATTCTCGTAATGTGATGCTTCTTCATAAATTCACAAAATATTACAAAATATAATATCGTATATAGTTATACAATTAATGTGTACCAATCTGGAGACGGGAGTATATAGTGATTAATGTTGAAACCACAATACTTTTCAATAATTTTCTTCAACGAAAAACAAAAGCAAAAAATTTATTTTATTTTATCGTAATCGGATAAACAGTTTTTTTTTTTATAGGTACTCAAATATACGCAAAATTTATTTTTTAATTCGAAAAAAGTGACAAACATAATTTTCATTTTCTTTTTTTTTTTTTCTTTTTTGTTTAAATATTTCTTTCAAAATTCATAAGTTAACAGCAAATTCGATAATTCAATACTTAACGAACCGTGAAACTGATTACATAATATTTACTTAATATGTACATATTATAAATATATGTATGTAAGTCTTTACATACATATGTACTTACATGTAAGTACACATATATACAAAAAATATCACCATTGTAGCAGAGACAACGCACAAGCGACAAAAATTAATTTCCTGAAGCATATAAAAAACCAATGAAGTTTGACCAAATTGGTTTGTAATATAGCACTTTTCCCTTCAACAAGTGAAATTACTGCTTTGAAAAGCAATCTATGTACACCTACCACACTATTAAAATTGAAAATAGGATTGCATATATTTAGGATGAACGGTTTATGCAGTTTTCAATATAAAGTGATTTTTGATTTGAAGTGATTTTGATTTTAGTTTTCAAATTTGGAAAAGATTGCAGTTTCGCAATTCGACAAATCCAAATTTTACAAATTTCGAGGGAGGAAAATTTTCTTCTAATTAAATAAACTATTTATTAATTTTTAAAAGGTGCAGACTTCTACAAACTAAGGTCTAGAAGAAAAACGATATGAAAAATTTGAAAAAAGAAACGTACTTAAGATAACGGTAAATTTTGACACGCATTTTGTTTTTTTAAAGTTCAAATATGGTATGCAGCGGTAAAAGAAGCTAGCCACTGCTGTTCTGCGTTTGCAAAATTTGAAAAATACTATAACTTTTAGAAGGGGGAGCCTAGGTAAAAACTTTCTTCTAAAAAAATAAGTTTCTAGTATATCTCTATGTATACATATGAATTTTAAACTTTCTGTCTTCAAGGGTGTAGAAGTTTTGTAAACATGTTCACCCACAGACCGATGGGCTGATGGGCGGACCGAGTGAAATCAAAACGAATTATGTAAACAATGAGCTAGTATGTCAAAGATATCATTTTTGTCGTATTTCACTTTTTAATGTGTATTGTACATACATGTTTTTGAAGTGACTGATTTGTTACTTATTTCATAAGGTGGGAAAATTTGTCTAAACTTCAAAAAGCTGGAAAATCAAGTAATGTAAACTCTGCGATATAAGCAGTTTCTAGTAGAAGTAAAAAAATAGGCAAATAATTTTTGGGAAACTTTGTAATTTAGTAGATGTTGTTATTATTCAGTTTATACAAGACATTTGTTCATTAACTAATTACCAAGCACCAATTCAGTGAAGAATATATTCAGCAGGCAGAAAATACATCGTCACAGCACTTAGTTTAAAAGTAACTAATGACAAATTCGACTGCAGCTGTAAAATAAACGGTTTTTTCCAAATCAGTTTTCAAATATGTTAAAATATTTTCGGTAGTACCTCAGAATTTTCGAAGAACAGAAATTAAATTTTTAATTTCACTGTAAATTTCTTTCTTGTTTCACGTTAACATAAAAATCGAATAACGTTCTTTAAATATCATGATTAATATTCATGCATTGTTACATTAACATTTTATACAAGAATTCAGAAATATATAATTTTATATATTCGTGTATATAATGCCTGTTTGTATAAACATTATTACTCAGACAAAAAATAATGGGACCCAAGTTCCAGAATGCTGCAAAAAATTTTATTTACTGATTCTGATTAACTATTTTTGTTGTTACTTTAACTTTAAATGAATAAACAAACAAAATTTAATTGAAATTGGTAATTGTTCAGCTTCCATTTAAACGTCAAAGCATATTTTACGAGGCAAAACAGTCAGGCAAATAGCACAACAAATTATATTTGAAATTTGTGTGGCAGCTATTGCATGAATTTATACAACTATCGTTTATGCAAAGTTGAAATACTGTGAGCTTTATAGTTTCCGAGATGAATTCTTTATGGAGTTGTACGGCAGCTATTGCAAGATCTTAATCAATTGTAACTAAGATTTAATAGAATAGATTTGGATAAAAAAACTCAGAAAATTAATTTTTTGGATCAAATGGGGTCGGAAAACAAGAGAAATGCTAAAACATCAAAATTAAATCGAACATAACATTTGAACAAGATTTAACAAAATATTATCACCTTACATCACTATTCAAATCATTTTAAATTCATAACCTTATTCATATTTTATACTTCAGTTCATAAATTTAAAATTAATGATTTTCTCTTAAAAATCTTCATGATAAAAAAATACAACTGTTCTACTTAACGATATTAAATGGTATCTCTACTATTTCTGACACTTAAATGCAGAAGTGCATTAGCGAAGTTTATTAACTAAGTGATTGTTCATGCTTCAAAAATTTATAAAAACTTTTTTTTTTTTTATTAAAATTCAACAACTATTAAAGAAGATAAAAAATATTTGCTTTTCAATTCAAAGACGTTTTACATGAAAAAGAAAAACAAACTAAAAAACAATTTTTTTTTCCAATGGTGTAGTAAAAATCTGTAAAATTCTTTCTTCCTTATTAAGTACTCAAACGTAAACGATTTCTTTTTTACTTTTTCGAAATTAGTTTTTTGTATGGAAGAGAAAAATGAGTCGAAAAAGTTGCAATGCAACACTATCTCTCATCATCATCATTTAGAGAAAGGGAACAAAAAAATCATAATTTTATTTATTCTTCCTGTTTTTCTGCCACATCTATTTACCGAAATGTTTCTAAAGACCGGATTTTTCTAAATTCCGATTTCAAGTTCCTTTATGTTAAAACCATTCGTAATGTAAAATATCCTTCCTTTTTATCTTTTATAAGAAAATCATTTTCAAGTAGTTTTAAAAGTTCTTGTTTTTTTTCTCGACTATCTTCTTTTTTGAGCAATGATTCTTTAACCCTTATTTAATCATCATAAGGTAATTTATACATGTATCGCATACAATTACATTCAATTTGGCCGATTAGTGCATTCAATCACTTAAAAAAAGGTGCTGGACGAAAATTTTACCTTTAAATTGGAGCTTTTAAATTTTGTTAGGGAGTTTTTTTTTTAATTTTCTGTTTTTTTCGAAAATTGTACTTTTTATAAAAAGCCAGGTACGTTGGATTTTTTGGCCCAAAATATGTACAATTTTATTTTATAAGAATTTTTTGGCAGATTAAGATTTCATTGACAAGTTATTAATGTAATTGCAATTACACATAAGCTTTTATTGTTGAGGTTTTATTATTCTTAACTGCTTAAGGGGCCTTATAACTTATTTTCTCTTTTTCTGATTTCATTTTTTTAGTTAAAATAGTTAAAATTCGTGTCTTAAAATAAAAAAATGTGGAAGTTTGCGTTGGGGTTAAATTCTTTTTATTTGTTTTCATATCTGGAAGGCGGTAAGAGTAACGTTAAATTTTAATAAAAGGTAGATGGGTACGTGTGGAAAATTTTTTAATAAAATTAAAAAAGTTTTGAAAAGAAAAAAACATTTTTTTTATTTAATTTTAAAATGAAAATTTTTAAAATCATTTACGATAGAAGAAAAAATGCATATTTACGCAGTAGAGTAAGAAAAACAAAAGCAATTAAATTACATTTTGGTACAAACGAACTTTAGAATTTAAAAAAATTTTTGTGAAAAAATGGGCAATTTGAAATTTCAATTATTTTATGTTAAATATACGTAGCATACACAAAAGTAATATAACAATTTTTTTTTTAATATTTCATGTTTCTAATCACAATCTGAGATCGCACTAGAGCCCTTTAGATTGTAATGAATTTCGCTCTATGCACTTCGGCATTGGTGTATAAGGATATGCACAAGAAAACTTTCACTAAACTTGTTACGTTAATCAAAAATTTTGTTAGTCAACTTGTTGTACATGCATGAATTTAAAAAAAAATTTGATAATTATCTTCTTAAAAACAATCAAACATATGATATCGACTCTTCATAAAAGCTTCAATGCTGAAAATTTCTGATCGATTTGTAAAATCTTGTAAATAAATTTAAATATCAATTAATTTAACCAAAATTGAGCTACATGGTTGCATAGAGAGACCAACACCTTACTAAAAAATTTGATGTGTAGAAGTCTTTTCTGAAAATACAACACGTGAAATTTCGTGTGTTAACATAAGCTCTCCTATTGCATGCCTTATAGGTGTTAAGAATAATATGTGCTTTAGCATAATGAATTACAAAGCCATCGAAAAATCAGTTTAATTTTACAACTTTTAAGTTTTGAGAGGAAAAATCCATTTTCAAATTATTATGTTTGTAAGACAAATATTTTTTGTTAAAAATGAAAAACACCTGTGGAAAATTGCAAAAACACAAAAAAAAATCAAAATTTTTAATTTACATGGGGCAAATTTAGAACTTTTTGCTTTATGTGTAAGAAATGTAAAACATACAATTTGAAAGAATACAATTCAAACAAAACTACAAGTCATGAAAAGTTTATTAAAGTTTTATTTTGAAAATTGTAACATTACGTTTTAAAATAATTTTGTTCAGTTAAAAATTGCATTCATATTATTTCTGTTGGCAGAAGACATTGGGAAATTGAAAATCTTCAAAATTCTTTCAAAATGGAAAACTGAAAGAAAAGAGTTCTCACTTATGACCTTCAGAAACATATTTTCACTTCCAAAATGCAATAATATGTTAATACGGTTTAGTGTAGTAATACGGCTAAGTTTTATATCTATACCGTATCACAGCCATTTTAAAG